ATTTGTGAACGCCAGCCCGAGGCAAGTTCTCCGAATCACATTTTTTGGGACCGAGCGACCAATGCAAGAGACCGCGACAGCACTTTCAACACCGATTTCGGAGTAGGGTTTGCTGCCTGTCGCGGTCGCTTGTATCTGTCTCGCGTTCCCAAATTGTACCTTAAAAGTATGAATGTGAACAATAAAACTCGTTTGAAATTTACATCAGAAAATGATTTAGTACTGGTGAGAGAAATGTTGGCTCAGAATCCGTTTAAAGATCTTACATGACGGGAAATAAATAATGTAAACAAGAGGACATTTTTTTTTCTTGTGAGAAACCATCTAAATATTTTATAATTGCAATGGTTGAGAAAAGATAATTTTTATAAGATATTGAATTATTTATACCTATTTTCAACTGATGCTACTTTAAATCAAACGTCTAATGGACTCAGCCAGCTGTGTTTTGTGGATTTAGCTCGGCCATCTGTGTTGCTGTAAAGCATATCAAATCATGACTGGTAAAAGACTGCCTAGAAGACCTGACAGATGAGTTAATTAGTCAATACAAGATGACCCTAGCCTGGGTACCGGGATACGAGGGCAATGTAAAGGCTGACGAGCTAACTCGAGCAGGCTCAGATAGGGCCATGACAGGCCCCCGAACCCTTATGTGGAGTTGCTAAAGCATTGTGCAAGGCATTCATCAAACAATGGATGTAAAAACAACTATCCAAGATTGAGACAGGCCATCATTAAGGAACCGTCGGCCAAGTTCACGAAAAACTACTGGTTCAAAAACGACAAAGGATAGGATAACAGTAGGTTTTCTTACATAACACTGTATGAGTGAGATAAATCCAGCAGAAGAAGCAACATTGTGTAAGTTTTTTGAAGAAGAAGAAGAACAACGTCCTGTGCCAGTGTGAAGACCTAGCTTGATTGAGGTGTCTAATACTAGGCGAAGAAAAGCCAGACGCATGTAACTACATGCGAGAGCCACTGTCAAAGCTACTAAGTCTAATGAGACCGAGCTATACGACACACTCTAACTAACCGAGTCCCACAACAGATCGTAAAAAGTCGCGGTGAACAAGGATAAATAATGTCAAACTCCTTTCAAATCTAATCTACCGTATAGTATGACAAATGACATTTGCGATAACACTAATTTTTGTTTTGATCGTAAGAAATAAGGTTACTGCGTTCGTAAGTGACAAGTGGCGATAACTCTCTAATGGAATGTATTAAGTTCCTAAATGACACGAAAATCAAATGCCAGATTTAGAGCCGTATTTATAAACAGATCTCAGCTGAGACGGACTTGGATGAGTAACTTCTCTAGATTTCCAGGTGGTTAAGGTGTTGCACTGGAAATTAGATATGGACAGTAGCAAATCCGTAACTGTTATGTACATTTAAAAATTTGTTACTATTCACCTCTAAATTCACGCAATATAACCGAACTTCGATTTTCCTTTAAGGACGATTCAGATGAATTGGACTTACCTGAGATCTGTTTATAAATGCGGGCGTTATTGCCTATGGAACGGCTTTTATATCCCATTTAAATAGGTTAAATCAAACTAGTAAGTCTCTAGAAAATTAATACGCCTCGAACCGTTATCAAGAGAGGGGGGTAAACCATAGGGGAATTAGGTATACAAGGGTAGGAAATTGCAAGGAATTCGTAGATTAATTTAATTAAATTCTATTAGTTTATTTTTTACATCTAAAAAATCTATATTTTCTTCTGCGAAGGTGCTACTATAGAATCATCAAAACAAAGTTCTGTGAAATAATTGTATTTCTGTCTCAACATATTTGTGACAGAAAGAATAATTTCCAATACTATCTTAATGTTACAAAATCTGTTACTATTACGAAAAATTTGCATCTGCTGAAAACTGGCAACACTGCCACAATACAGATTAGTGTAGACCGTTGAGTAAATTACCAAATCATTTAAGAGCAATTTTTTATTTCTAAAGTCTTCAATTTGCTACTATTTGTTGAGTATTATTAAGAAACCTAATCCGGCACGTTATTTTGATTATGATGTTTCACAAAAGATTAGTAAATGCAAAAAATATGCGATATACCATGAAAGTAAGCAAAAATAAAATTTAGCAACATATTCAAAAACATAGATTTTTAAAAACCATTTAAGGCAAATGGTGCAAACATTGTTCTATGCACAGATTAAAATTATCAAATTTGATTTGAATTTTCCTCTAATTTTTTACTTCGTATTTTTGGTAGAATTTATCGGAGACACAATATAACTTTCTTTTCATATTGTCGTGCGAGCCATTTTCAACCAGTCCGATTCTTTGTTTATGTTATCGTCTGTATTCCGCTGTCGCTGGTTGATCTAGACAAACTCCTATGAGACGCTACTGGAAAGTTCCTTTGACTCGTAGGGGAAGGATTTCAAGAACATCTAGAGATTTCGGAACAGGTTCACTAATTTTCATATAAATAGCGCGACTTTGTCGGTAGAAGTAAAGTTGAACATATACATTCGAATTGCTATATAAATAACGAACAGAAGAATTCTAACCTATGAAAGTTACGCTGAAATATATTGGAAATTAGAAAAAAATAACGATATATCACAGTTCATTCAATTCATCACAAAACTTCTTGAAAATATTCGTTAACTGTAATATCGCAGTAATCAGAAATATTTTCATTAAAGCTAAAACATAACCTACAACCATGCAGGTGTGATGTAAATGCAAAGAGAGTTATGTGTTTAAAGAAGAAAGAAATGAATTGTTTGGGTATCCATGTGATGTTTGCAAAGAAATAAAACAGTAGGGAAATTAAAGAAAAATCTGAAGGCAGTGGAGCACAAAGTCGACAACTTCCCCCACATCGCTACAGAATTAAACTCTTTAAAATATAACATCAAAATGTGGGAGAAAACGTTTACGGTGATACACAACGAATAAAAAAGGATAAACAGAAGTTAGTTACAGCTGAAGCTCAAAGCATCAAAAAGAAGATAAAGTAGATTCAGAAGTGATGTTAAAGGATGAATTTAAAGTTCTAGCTGATTTGCTAAAAAGTGCCCGAGAGCCAAATCAACAAATAAACCATAATCTTACCTTTGAACAAACTTTAACAGAAATGCAGGAAAGACGAGCTAGAACATAATGTCGTATTATTTGGCATTCCAGAAACCACCAAAGAAGATAGAGAAGAAAGAATAAAATAAGAACAAACCAAGGTTGTCGAAGTGCTACCTACACCAGTGCAATGCAAACATTGTAATAAACAATTTAAAGCTCTACAGACTAGGCAAGTATGGAACCCATATTTTGTTAAAGATATAGAAATGTTGGAAAAAGTCCCAAGAAAAGGTAACTAGAATCCGCCCAGAGTTTCAGGGCTGTAGCTATTTGGAAAGGCTTTTAATTCTTTAAACTCCAAATACATAAAGAACGTAGACTTAGAGGTGACCTGATTGAAACGTTCAAATATTTTTCATGTTTATCAAAATGGAACACGCAGAGAGCATTCCAAAAAAAGTGGAAAAAGAAAAAGGCGACAAGCTCCAAAGAAAAAAATATAAGCACTCGAGTGGTGTATACTTGGAACAACTTGCAAGAGGACACTATCGTATGGAGTTCAGTTAACCAGTTCAAGAATCGTCTAGATAAAGAATTGAAAATTGCTTCAAACATCATGGCCCACTATACTAATTGATCTTTTGTGATAAAGTGTGATATAGGTTAATGTATCGTGATAACTGCTGTTATATCTTTATGTTATGTACTTTGTAGTTAATTAATATTGTTAATAAATAGGGCTGATATATAAAATAGGCATTTAAGTATAAATCAATTATAAGTAATAAACTTGTTTTAAATAAATAATTGTAACATTGGTGTCAGAAGTGGGTTACTGTAAATAATGGCTCGCACTACAATATTTTCTTTTTGCTGCCATTCTTTGATTTAGTTTACCTCGAGAATAATTATATTTCACTAATAAATTATAGTAAACTACTCTGAGAAAATATGTTTGACGATCTTTTTAATTTCAGTTCAAACCCGAATTAGAACAAAAATTGAAACCGAAATTCGAACTATAACCGATTTGTTGAAATGAACTGTAACCGTAAATATATTTCAGTTCACTCCTAACTAATCTTTTCTAACGAAAACAAGTAAGATAACTACTGTACTGTTAGATAATGAAGTTAAAAATATAGAGATGCTATTGTTTATATGTTAGATTGAAAGGAACGTGTGTAAGAAGCGTAATTCAAGCTTTCAGCATGATCCATCTGTCGTTTGCTGTTTCTAGGTGATTTTGCAACCATTTGAATTCACACAATCGTCGGCTTATCATGCAAAAGTTTTAAGTCCAAAAATATTCAAATTTAAGAATGTAAAGGTATTAAGTCCCATAAAATTGTCGTTCACTTTAGTTTCTAGAAAATAATACATATAGGTCTTCTTACTAGCTATTTTTTAATACCTATGAAGTATTTTCAGTTCCATGTAAAATTTATAGTGCTTATTTGTTCGTGTTAGGTATTTGAGTGGTATACAAGTTAATAAAATGGCAACAGCCAATCGTGGACTAGAATTAGAAGATATGGTGGTGGAATATTAGCCGAACCGAAAGTGAGGCACAAAGCTAGGAGCATAGCAATAGCAAGGATATCGTAGTTACATGTTCGCTGTGATAGCAGGGCTATGCCTAATACAAAATAATAAGTACTGTATTTTGGGACTTACATCTGCATGTTAAGCTGACTAAATGTCAAAATGACTATGCCGTTATGCGTTAAGTGAGCAGCAACATAAAACCTCCACTTCAAATAATTTCATTTATAACGATAAGAACCGGTGCGAAATTTGATTTCAGACTCCGATCCAAAAATATGGCACTTAAAATCAATAAAAATCATTCACGGTAACGTGCCCCTTAAGAATAAGATATTTTTCTAAAAGTAAAATGTGTAGTTATGGATTATTCGCTGATGTGTGTAAAATTCCGCTTTATATATCACTCCAAACTGCTACCTTCCTAGAACGATCCACGCTCGCCAAGAAAGTTCCAAAAGAATGCCACGCGGTGGCGCTAACAGCATTGTTATGCTCCTTGAGTATTGATTCCACTTTGGCACTATTAACGCCCCAAATATATACGCTACCATCAGCCGAACCTACAGCGACATACTGCCCGTTAGGACTGAACGTCGCTCTGGAATAGTCGCATCCGACTTTGAAGCCGTCGCAAGTGAACAGAGTAACCACCTGGTTCATTCGCAGATCTAACAGCTTTAAGGTATCGTCTCTCACACAACAAACCAGGTATTTAGCATCCCTACTTAGGTCCAAGGAAGTCACCTTGCCGTTTAGAAGCACGTTGTTAGCGCTAGATTCCGATCTGCTATCCCAAAACCTGATGCTCTTATCGAAGTGACCGCTGATGATTATCGACCCGGCACTATCTACAGTAACCAAATCGTTGCAACTGGACCCCGCGAATTTCGTTTCGATGCACGCTCTACTTCTCAGATCCCAAATTTTCAACGTGCGATCGTGACTACCGGTGACGACTTTCGAGGCTTCGCCCAAAAACTTTGCGGCCATCACTTTGCCCGAATGGCCAGTCAGAGTGTGCCTCAATCGTTGATCGCTTATGGTCCAAACTCTGGTGGCGTAATCATTGGAAGCGCCTAATATTAGAGACCCTGACGTGTCGAAATCGATCGCCATAACGCCAGCGTTGCTGCCCACTAAAGTTCCTTTACTTTCATACACGCCTTTGCATACTTCCCATAATTTTAATTTTCTATCGGCTCCACCAGTCGCCAGGATTCTGTCTAGAGGACTCCATTTGACGGCGCTTACTTCGCCCTCGTGTGCGTCGAACTTCACGTTGATCTTGGTGGGTAGGGACGACGTGCACAGCGGTCCGTAGCCCTCGGTGAGCTCTTCCGGCGAACCCTTAGTATCTTTGCAAGCTTCCTCGATCTCCTTCTGCATTTTCGCGTAACGCTTCTTCAGGAAATTATCGTTTTCTTCGTTCATGCGATCCGCATCTTTTGCTTTGTACTTAACGAAGCGATCGGCGAGGTCTCTGTTTTCTTTTTGGGCTTCGCGCAGCTTGTCTTCCAGCGAGGTGAAGAGGAGTTGCAGCGCTTGGTGTTCGTCGCGAAGCGTGTCGTTGAGGTATTGCAATTCGGTTTTGAATTTTTGCAACATAGAAATTTCGGCTTGAAGGGAACATATTTTCGCCGCGTTATCAGCTAATATCACATCTTTGGAAGCTATAATTTTGTCTTTTTCTTGAACCAACGCGTTCAAGTCGATTATCTGTTGCGAGTTTTCACCTTTCCTTCGGTGCAGTTCGGTGAGCTCTTCGGCTTGGTTGAGGAGTTTCTGTTCGAGATGTTGGATCTTTTCCTGATACCTGATATCGCCTAGACTAGAATTGTTCGAACCCAAACCGCCTCTGCCCAAATTCCTTAGTTTCTCTATTTGTATCGAGAGCTGTATGTTTTCCGAATGTATTGTGTTGTAGCTCTCGAATATTTTCGTGTGTTCATTGACTAGATCCTGGAAGAGGTCGGTTTCCCTCCTGTTCCTCTCCTGCAATTGACTTAGAATGGAGTTTTTCCAATTATCACTAAAAGCAGTCATTTTTAAAGGGTTTATGTTTATTGTAAATCACAGTTTCACTCGTCCACTTAGGTAGGCATTATTGGATCTGGAACAAATCAAAAGCATTAGAATCTTGCCTTCACAAGCACATACACTATTTATTTATTACATTAGAATACAGTAACACAAACTTTTTAAACATACACAATCACTTCACTGTAAGCACACAGTTCCAAACTTTTTTTTATATATTTTTATTGTACCCTTCAAAAACACCTTTGTGGTCATTATTTTGATATAACTGCTTTACTGTAGATGATAATAACAATAATTATTATATAATACTACGAATAAAACGTTTATTATCAAAGATAGGAGTAATTTCGTTAAATGCCGAAAATGACAGGAAAACCGATCCTCCTATCGACTTTTCTACGATAGACGGGTTAGACAAAAATAGTCTTATTTGTGGAAGATGCCAATATTTTCAACAATTTTGTGTATAAATTACTATAAGCAAAGTAAGTAGCTAAGTACGCGGATCTAACCATCGATGTCCAACAAATGGAGTTCTACCGGTTATTATTTCATTTACGGGTCGGTCTAAATGTCTAAATAAACAAAGAAAGTACATTGAAGATCAATAATATTAAAAATAATATGAAATAATAATTTACGCAGAATGCTACGTCGAAGAAAAATAAAAGAAAACAAAAACGTATGGGTAGCCTAAGGTGTTGAGCGGTCGTGTATTCAATTACGAGTACTGATCTTTAGTGGTAAGTGACAAGCTAATTCTGATCTCAGAGTAAACAGCAAACTATGTCAATTTTTAATTAATTTGCATGATTCCTCGTAGGATTTGATTAGTGCCGTAATGGCAGTAATTTAGTTTCGTTTGTTAAGACATCCAGATTACAAATAGCAGTGGGTTACTGTTTCGATGCTGCTGGGTGGGGTTTTCTTCATCTGTAAGTCAAGTGACACCATCAATCATCTGTAAGTCGCTCCAGAGTTACAGGGCAAATAATAATAGACGTCCCTATCCGTACAAGATCTTCAAAGGTTCAGGGGTTCACGCGTAAGGGGTGAATTATAGCGGGAACTATATATTTTTACAGTTTCTTCTCCATTCATATTATACGCCTTAGGCAACAATCGAATTACTAATTTTTGGATTTTTAATTCCGCCACGGGGAGGAAGGGATGAGGTAAAAAAATGTTATTACTAAATGAAATACTTTACTTTAAAATACTTTAAAATGCTTTAAAATACTTTAAAATACTTTAAAATACTTTAAAATACTTTAAAATACTTTAAAATACTTTAAAATACTTTAAAATACTTTAAAATACTTTAAAATACTTTAAAATACTTTAAAATACTTTAAAATACTTTAAAATACTGTAAACTACTTTAAAATACTTCAAAATACTTTATACTGGGAGTTTAGGGTAATTTATTAGTGAAGAAAAGTACTTTGAATCTCGCAAAGATATATTTACTCAAAAATTGCAACCGTACGTAGTGGTGAACTATATTGAAGAATTAGAAACAAGTTTATGGAAAAACATTTACTAACAAAATATTTACTAATATTACTAATTAAATTACTAACACATAACTAAAACAAAATTACTAATATATTAACAATATAGGTCAAGTTCATTTGAAAAATTACAAAAGTTACAGAATTTGTTTATTAGTAAAACGAAGAAAAAGAAAAATAGAAAAAAATAAAGTTTGAGAAACTCACCACTAGGGAAAACTACAATAAGTGAAATCAAGAAAAAGCGAAGTGAAGTTAAGTTGACTTTTCCCCTTGTAATAGTGTACCTATTTAGTTTTTTCTAGTGGAAAGAAAATATCATTTTTCTTTTTCCCTTTTTTTTTCTCCTTCTTTTTTCTTTTTTTTCTCTTTTTTTCTATTTCTACGTTTTAATTTTGGACAAATTATTTAAAACTTTAGTAATTTCTCAAACTTTACCAGTCCTGAAGGACAGATTGCCCAATGTTTTGTATTACTTCAGGCTCAAAAACGCTGTAGTGAAATTTTCGTTTAAATAAGACCTTATCATTATTAAATTCCTTAGACTAGGGAAGAAAGAGGAGGCTAACTCGTATTTCATACTGACGCAGAGAATTTCGACCAAATATCGATCGCCCGCCATTTTTTGTGGTGAACTTTTAGTTTTTTACGTCATATTTAAGTGATTACAATGATTGTGTATTCAGCTTATGGTTATAAAAAATAATTACATTTCACAGGTAAAAAATATTAAAAAAGCTTGGACATAGAAAGACTTATTTTATGTCTACGTTTAACATCTGATGTCAAATATTGAAGTTCTAAGTTTAATTCTATTTTTTTGTATCTAGATACCGTTGTAAGTCCAATCCCCTTCTTAGGGATGCTATATGTACGGGTTTCGCCCGGACTGTCCGAGTTTTGAACAATTTGTCCGGTGTCCGGTCAGATTATGAAAATGTCCGGAAATATTTGGATAACTTTAGAAGACTTGTTTTTTTAGAAGGATTTGGTTTATTCTTTAGAAGCTCGACAGGTTATAAAATTAAACGGTGGGATCTCTTTTTTTTTTGATTTCACAAAGGTCCGCGTTTTGAGAAATAAAAAGGTGACAACCCTACCACTTTTAGATGACCGGTATCATCTGCCAGACCAATCACGAAGTAGACATTTTAATGTAAACATAAACATATAGGTTGTATTTTGTTTTGAAGCAATAGTAAGTGGTCAGACTGCTGTCAATTTTAAAAGTCAAAAACTACTAGACTAAGGACCATTTGCACCACTAGTCGTTAAGATATAAGCAAAGCATAAAATAATATTTTATTAGGAAATGGTTATTTAACGAACAAGTGTATTAATAAGGGCGATTAACAATCGATATTGTTAATCGCCATTGTAATTCACGAGTTCGTTACAGAACTTTTTCGTCGACCGTACTTTTCAAATATAAAGATATCTTACTTTTAAGAAATTAAATAATGATATACAATGACAGATACTATTAACACACCTTCTTGATTTCAAATGAATATGTATGTTTGGTTGCCTACACCATAGGTAACTGTCAATATAAATGTATAATAATAGCAATGTACGTTGGGTTGCATATAATAAAATCGTTGATTAATAGAAAATCATTCATTAATAGGGGTCAATTATCAACGATTTTGAGTGTGTTAAAATACATCATAAATGGTCGGTCGACGGAAAATGTAATTATAAGCTTTGCCTATGTTTTAAGGTCCAGCTGTGCAAATAACTCCTGTGCAACTGGTGCTAATCCATTAATTCATAATTAAGCCCTTATTTATTGCAAGCACTCATATTGTGTTTTATAATAGGCAGACAGACCTGTCGAATCAGCTGCCGCATTAGAAAGAGTGATATGGCAGCTAAATTAAGTAGGGATGGTTTGTGCGAGCTTGTTTATCTGAAGTGTGGGCATGCAGTTTATAGATTGTCAGGTAGTGACAGGTTTAAATGCCCCATTATCGCATACAAGCGTCGAAGAGGGTTGAAAAGTACATAGATTTTGAGTAGAATGAAACGAAATTTATGAGTGGCTCCTGGGGATAACATATGGAAAATTCGATTTTCCCTACCAAAAATGAAAGGTTTTTTGCCCATAGTTTCACGCAAGCCGTGTTCACTAAAAGATTAACTAGGCTTCAGAAACCCAAAGGCTTTAATGATGCAAGTGGCTAAAGGGTTGAGATAAGGGCACGACCTAGTAAGGAAAATAGAGATTTCAACGGATTTTTCCACACAAGTCCATCAAATGTATGAAAACGTCCTTAAAAAATATTGGCTTGAATGACCCGAATGGATATGTCGGAAATATTTCTGATAAGGAAAATCGAATTGTCCATATGTTATCCCCAAGAGCCACTCATACATTTCCTTTTATTTTACTCAACATCGATGTACTTTTCAACCCTCTTCAAGCTTGTATGCGAAAATTGGTCACTATATGATGGTCTATTGTGAAGGAACCCAGACGTACTATGTTACCTGCTTAACACCATTGACACACTACTTTCTTGTATATCACCTTTAGCTACACTAATAGTTGCTACCAGAAAAATACATTTAACAGATAGTAACTGTTCATTAAGAAGTCAAATATACTTCTGTGCGTTTTAGTAAGTCTATTCCAAATTATAACCATGAACAATACTTGTAACAAGACTTTTTTATACTCTCCCATAATAATTTGGAAACTACATGGATAAGACAATGTTTGTAAACAAAATCAGTCTAGTAGTTGTTTGTCGTTTGAAAGCAACAAACTATTTTTAACCATTAAAGGAAGTATAAAGTTATAATTTGTACAAATGTTATACTTTTAGGGTCTGAGATTAGTAAGCAAAATTTGCTCAATACAATCTTATCAATATTCTAAAATACAACCTTAATGCTTGTATATTACCAAAATACATATATTTATTAAACCTTTCATCTAGTTAGAAATGAGTTGTGATTTTATGATAGCCTCTTGGAAATTTTTGAATTAGGCATTATGTCTAAAATGGCAACACAAAACTTCTCGTTTCTAATGTTGGGGTAGGTTTAAAGCTAGCTCCAAACTAACGTCGCGAAAACCCGTGAAGACTTACGAACATGGGTCTGGATGATTTCACCCTACTCATGTATTCCACTCTTGTTTACGTCGCGGTCGAGAAATTCGAACGCTACTCACATTCAAACAACAGCAGTGCCCAGTATTGCCAGTTCTACGGTTTTAACAGTAGATCTACTTTTTTGTTACTTTTCATTAAATATAATTAAAAATTACTATATTACTAAAAAAATGTTCTCTTTTAATTGGTACAGGCGTTAATTTTTTACTTGACCCATAAACATTTTATGGAATTTCTTCCAACCTTTACATGCTCACTGTATTTAGGACCTTCTTGAAATTGGAGACACTGAAAATACAAAAGCTAAGAACATAAAATAGCTTATATTATTAATAAATTGACATTGCATTAGTTTTGTTGTGTTCATGAATATTTGATGTTTTACTATTAAGATTAGAAGAAAAAAATTTTTTTTTATTATATTATATTATAAGGAGATACCTAATTAAACTAGAAGTGAAACTCAAGAACTACTTAATGAATTTATTACTAAGAGCTAGAACTATAATGGCATATATAGTTAAAAACTATGTTCTTTACATCTACTATTTTTTTTTTTTATAATTATATGAATGGCTGTGGTAGGAATCAATTAGCCAGACATCTACTATTTGAACAGCATAATTATGAACTTTTTAGGGCAAACGTTCACCTATATGCTGTTCACTTTCATTTTAACTGTTGAGTGGGCTATAAAAGTCAAACATTGCTCACTCTCTATAGTAATACTGACATTGTCAAAGTTCTTCGTGTTGTCAAACAGTCCTCAAATGTAACATTGTCCTTCCGTTTTTCTTTAGACATTAAACCTGTTCATTGGTGAATTTATTTTGTGCCAAAAGACAAGGCAACCAAAAAGAAAAAGGAATTTTATGTGTTCATTAATAACTGAAATTATAAATGAGTATTTATAACTTTACAATATTTTAGTGATCACATTTCTTTTGAACAAATGCTGGACAAGTGAAATGTTAGAGGGGAGAGGTTCGAAATGCATCTACAAAACAGAACCACAGAACTATTTATTTCTTTAGACACAAAACAACCCAAACCAACAACTAACAAACGTCAAACGACAGACTGTTTTGTGCTACACGTGAAACAGCACCAAAATGGGAATAATGTATTCGAAACTATACCTTCTGATTCTTTTTATCTTAGGCAAAAAAAGCCCCTGATTAAAAAGAGATGAAACATGCAACTAGACGACGCGATAGGAGAGTCAGCTGATTAGTACATTAATCCTGAATATAGAAATGTGTTTAGTTATTGACAAACATAGGAATATAATTATCAAAATAGGAAATTATTAAAATATTTATATTTTGAAATTTTTCTAAATTTTATGTTTGCTGGAAAATAACGATGTTTTTCTGAATGTTTGCTATACAAGATCAAGTGCTGGACAAACTGTGAAAATGCCGTGTAATACAGCGGAATACTGTATGTATGGTCATACTACAATATTTTAAATTATTAACAAAAATATTAGTAATAGTAGGGGTAAATTATTATTATTTTGTTACATAGAGCCAGTTGCAAGGACGCCCATTAAAATTTATGAGCCTGATAAACTTTAACATTTTTTGATGCAGCTTGAGAATGATACTGTCAAAGTTTTATCAGGATAGCACATTTTAAAGAACGTTCCTTAATCTAATAAATAAATGTAATAATTTTATTAAGTTATTGAACAAGTTATAATTATATAATAAATTTGGTTTCAAAATAACTAAATAATTTTCACAAAAATTTCTTTAATGACTAAAGTAAATAGTATTTAATTTCATTAAATAACTGTAAAATATTTTTTAAGAACTAAAGATTAGAATTTGTATTAAAAATAAATTTGTTTACAATTTACTTAAAGAATATGCACAAAGTTTATGGTATGGGAGGTGATAAGTAGGGGAAGGTCATGGAGATATTTAATTTTGTGAAAAATCTATTACATGCTATTTTAATTGTTAAGAAAAGATGTAGACCTAAGGATTTTTAAATGGTGTTTATTGATGTCGAAAAGACATGATTTCACGATATGCCATTTGATGACATCTGAATTTGAAGGGTAGCTACAAGATTATGTCTTATGTCCACTTCTTTTCTCTTTAATATTAGATGGCAATTTGGGTTTAGTATAGAAAGAAGTCTATCTAAAATACAGGCTCTATAGGAGTTACTAAAACAGCCTGGAATGTCGGAATGTGCATCACTTTGAGACAATATGGGATAAAATTGTCACTACAGATTTCTGAGTCTAAAATTATCTGATATATCTTATTTTTTTAGAAAAATGGAAATAAATCATCCATTAGTAATCATATTTTTAAACCAAAATTCTACAGTATTGTTTTACAGTTTTAATTGTGACTAATATCAGTTTGTTTTCAGCTTGGGATTGTAAGCATTCATTCGTTAAAGTTGCAGGGGGATTGAGATTTTCATTTTCACATTTCCAAATGCATGTATAATTTGATGTCAATTTACGAGTCAATAAATATAATTTAATTTATTGTTCTTCTTTATTTTTCAGTACCATTACTTTGAGCCTAACAATAAGATCCCAACAACGAATTATTTAAATCAATTTTAAAATGATAAAACTAGCTGTATATACTCTTAGAACTGAACTAGTATTCTTTTTACATGCTTTTCGCTTAAATTTCTATTATTTGTTATAAACAACACTCATTAAAGTCTCAACATGCACAGTCTATTCTAACCTTCAAATGGAATTGGATACCACACCACTAAAAAAGCTGCTGCCTCTGAATTTAAAATGTATTCAAAATTAGTTTTATATTAAATTCACGAATATCAGACAAATATTTAAATGTATCATTAGTTCAAACTTCTTTCATTGAGTATCCACAAATTTGGCAAACAACATACAAAAAAAAAATGAATAGAATAACAATACGGACATCATAAATACCAGATATACTAATTCAAAACAATCTGTTTTGGATACCTAGTTAATAACGCTACAACACTGTAAATCAAATATTTACAAGAGTTTAAATATAGAAAAAACGTTTCCTAATTTAGACTTAGATTTCAATTTAAGCCAAGTAGTTTCATAAGATAAACTTCATGATTCTGAATGTCTTTATGGTAAAATAAAAACCGAATAAGTAAAGCTAAAAAAAAGTCTAAGACAAAATACATCAATAAAGAAAAAACAAATACATATACACTTAATATAAAATAAGTTGTGGAACTGATCTGCTTGTTCGTGATTGTTTCATTTAAACATTCTTTATCACTGCATTCTATATAACATAGCGAAATAGAAAGTGACCATTGAATGACAACATTCTTTCATAACTAAATAAAATGGATGTTATTGAAAAATGTTTCATGAACATTATGTTGTATTAAAATTAATGAGCTTAGAAACAAATGTTCAAAAGAAAAATAAGGCTAAAACATTCAAAAGTCTATTTTAAAATGGTTGGTTTCACCTTTTTAAGGTATACATATATTTTTTTATTTATGTATTATTTCTATTTTTGTTATCAGCTCCAAATAACTTTACTGGTTACTCTGCAAAGGTGGCTGAAATTTTGTCACATGTATTAAGTGCTCAATTGAACATTGCTATACTATCACATTAATCTTGTACAACTCAGGAAATAGGCTGGATGTTTAACACGTTGACTGCCCAACTACAAGATAACTCATTCTTGGCTAGGATGTTGACTACAACTTATTTCATACTTCGTTTAATTCCATATTCGTGCAGCTACGATAAACATTCATAGTACATCTGTATAAATATGAATAGTTACTGGGAAGAGAAAAAAAAATGGAAAATATATTAATAAATGAAAATAAAATATAATCATACAACATTTATGTAAAATCAACAAACAAAATAGTATTTTTATTGTTTAGTGATTTACTAATGAATTTAGATGCATATCTCTGATTCAGCTGTAGTAACACCAGCTCTCTATGTTTTTGTATACTATAATTACAATTTTTAATAATATATCATCAAATTAAATTCGCTTTCTAGGCTGGAACTCTAAAAATTACTGCAGCAGTCAACGTGTTAACAGATCAACATACCTTACATAATTGACAACTTTGCCAATATCAAGATTTTGCAAATGAATTGTTCCAAATATGGCTCACAAAATCTAGGACAGTGTCGATTCATCCTAACAAAAATCATAAATTATCTACCATAAACTCGGCTATAAACTGGTTTAGTTTAATATATTTCAAGGACTCAATTTTGATGAAAACTAAATGATAGGTATTAGCTGAAAATGGGTAGGTAGTTGCTAAGCTATTTGGAAAAATACATCAGCTGTAAGGAAGAAAAACTTTCTGATCTGGCACCACATTTTAATACTTTTGTTGAAAATCTCTTAACTGTCTACACCCTGAGAATTCAAAAATTATATTGCAATAACATCAATTTTATTGTGTCAATGTTATGTAGGTACTTATATAAATAATACTAGTCCTACTACTAAAGACGATCAATAATAGTCACTTTAAAAATTAAAAAAAGCAGTGTTTACCTGTGAACAGTAGCATATTGTGTTGAAAATATGTTTCTCGTGCAATGCATACAACTCAGTGAACATATCCATGCACTAGACAAAAACATGCGGTCATCTTTAAATTAAAGAGATATTTACGGAAGGAGTCTTCAGCGGAACCACAGGAATCGTATTCATTTAAAAGATAACTTTGCTCCTTTGCGTAATCTGAAATCAAAGACGTTTATTTTAATACCAGTAAATATCTCAAATACTGAAAGAATCGTAAACACGCGAGAGCTTTAAGTAAACACATTTAATAAATTATTACATTACACTGTTGTTACTGAAATATATAATGAAGGCAGCAAATAGCGAGTTTGTCAAAAAATATTTTCAAAATGTCACAATTCTTTTTATCGTGATAACATATCACCATTTATTTTGTTAGTTATCAAGCAATATATATAAGCCGTAATCAAATAAAATGTACTTATTTAAATAATTACCACTAATATTTATTTATCTTGGGGTGTTTGACAAGAAGTGACAATCACAAAATCACTTACTTTTTTGTGACTTGTGACAAATGTTGGTTGATTTGATTGGCAGAATATTTTCAGTTGGCTACACTCTAGGAACTAGGAACGATTTCCCATTTTACGCATGCCCGAAAACCGAAAACCGAGAATATTTTTCTACGAGGGAGGTACTAAATGTACTAAACTAAATTACTAACTACACTGCAGTAGTAGTGTCGATAATCCGAACGTCAAAAATCCGCACCGTCGATAATCTGGATTCAATTCAATCAAAAGCGTTAACCGCTTCAAAATTTATAAACTGTGCAGTATTCTGTAACTACATATATTGTACATTACATATATATGTATATTCTTTCTTTAAAATACCAGATTTGTCTGAGAAATGTACCAGGCAGATTCCATAAAAATGTACCAGATTCTATGAATTGTACACTATTTCTCAAATTGTGATGGTTTGGTTCAATGAAGAGCAAAAAATCTTTTATCGAGAACAAACACATGGAAAGACTAGCTAAAGTTAAACGTTTTCGTTTACATAAAAACAGGCATGAATTAAAATTAACACAGTGCTGTTAAGGTAAAACCTTGGGTCCTACTTATATAGCTTGTGTAGACACAGCCGAGTTTTATAATTTTGTTAAAATTATGTTCGTTCCAACTTTTCGCTATTGAGGTCTTTTCTTTCCGCTAGCGCTACCGCCAATATATATCACTTATTCTCATCTCAACACAAAACATTCACTTCACTTTATAATCACTTTACCACCAACATCAAAAAAATAACAAATAACACTATATATAACCTTCTTTTCTTCTTCGTTAATCTAACTCACTTATATAAGTTTTATTAAATGCCGAAAATTGTAACTGTTGTTCATTTGAAATTAAATATTAGGTTAGGTTTTCTGTCCTTCTCTTGTAAAACAAAACATTGATTTTCAAGTTATCGATTCAAAGACAAACGATGCCAGTACATACGAAGTCCTATAGACGTTCCATGGGCGTCCTATTAACGTCTTGGAGTCGGACCGAAAACTGAACGTTTTGTCAAGACTGGACCAAAATAGGACGCCCAGAAAACGTCATAAAAGGACGCCCTAGTGTTCACGATAATTGGAAGTCCAGTGAACGTCCGATTTAGGTCCAGGACCGATAAGGGACCAAATCAGGGGGCTTATTCTCTGACTAATGTTTTTGTAAGTGCGTCTCTCTAGAAACGTGACAAACAACTCATAAAAGCGTATAGCACGAACGTTTTGGTATTCTCTACTTGCTGTGCCGTGCGTATTTAAAAAACGTAAAGCGCTTTCAAAAAAGTTACAGATGAGCAACGTTTTGCTGTTCGCACTTCAAGATTTGACATATGAGACTAAGATGCTGAAAATCGCGAGATTCGACGCTACTATAACCCGAAGAATGCTTTCGAACTTTCAGATAATCAATTTATCAAGCTATTTCGTTTGCGAGAGCATGATGTGACTAACTTAGCGGTTTTCATTGAACCCTTAGTGCCGAATCCGCAAATAAACACTGCATTGACTGTAAATAGAAAAGTGAGTACTTAGATTTTAATAATTTAAATGCTATAAAATATTATTAACTTTGTAATTTCTCATATTTTAGTTATAATAGCAGCACTCCGTTTCATAGCAGGAGGTAGTTATCATTTGGATATTGGTAGAAACTTTCAGATTTGTCATTTCCTCAATCTTTCCTGGTCCACTACCCGTTTTTATATAGGATTTATTGTTTCTAGATTTTTTGCTTTGGTTCTGGATTTGATGTCATTCCAAGACTAAAAGCAGAGACTATGTTAAAGTCGTTATATCACGACTATAGGTACTATTATATTATATACATAATATTTCGCACACTCAGTAATAAAGTGGCATTACTCAAATTTGCATGTTTAAACTTTTAATCGTAAGACGGTCCAAAATGACATCCTCTATTTGTAGAACTTTTTAAATGACGGTGTTACTCCAACGTAGTACGTCTTAGAGTTAGAGTAGCACTGCCATTTAAAAAGTTCCACATATGGAGGGCGCCATTTTATGCTGTCTTTCGATTAAAAGTTTAAAAATGCAAATTTTGAGTTGTCACTTTATTACCGAGTGTGCTATTTATGAAGCTAAAAGTTCGTTCATAATATTTTTTAATCTTGTTATTATTAAAATTAACTGTCAAGTCCTCCCACATTTTTTGGAGTCAGCAGCTATATGCTGATTAATATATTTTTGGTTTTTTATAATATTGGAATTGTCCTTAATATACTCCAGTGGGGTTTTCTTTTGGGCCCTAGAGAGTTGCTTTTTCACCGCGTTTATTTTTTAATCAATTATTAATTATATTATTCTCAAAATGACATTCAAAAACTAACCTTAGTTATTCAGACCAATTAACATTTAAGATTTATAATTATGACAGCTTTACGACAAAAATGAAAATCACTTGCGAATCTCAAAAGCGTCCAGCATTAGAGAATACCATAATCGCTTGCTTGTCGTTTTGGTAAACGAACTTTGTTGAGAAGTTCGCTTGGCGCTTTCGTTGCTATACGTTTTCGGCTGAAAGTTACAGATTAACCCCCCAGAACGTCTATGGAACGTCCTGTGCTATTCCGGCAAATAGGACAATTTATTTATGTCAGGCGCTATATCTTATAAGGTTTGTTCCAACAACGATCTTGGAACAATGCATAAACCAGTTCAAAACTTATTGTTGACAATCTGTCGATGACTAGTAATTGACAACTTGTCAGGTACTGGTCGGGGATTGGGATTCAACTCGGAACTCAATTATGTTGGAACACATTTTTTAAATTCAACAGACGCATGATTACAATAATAAACCACAAAATAAAAGATCATGAACAAAAACTATGAAGACTAAGCTCGATTAACAAATACAAATCAGAACTGTCAGAGACAATAGATACAAATAATATAATTACAATCACGAAATGTTCAGTTTATTGCGGCTTAGCGCATGTCTTGACAATTCGTTCCTATTCAGACCCAGGAACTGATTTGACAGTACACAAATCGGTTTGTGATTAATTTTTGGTTGTGTTGGAACACTATGTTTTTGTACAGTTTCGAGTCTACGGTTTGTTGGAACACAAATTCTAGACTGCGCAGAATCCCGACAGTACACAAACTGATTTGGTTTATGTTGGAACAAACCTTTATTGTCGCACTTTATATCAGGCGTTAACTTATTTTGTCTCTCAAGTATTTTTCTGAGCGCGACTTTGTCGAAACACATTTATCCCGCCCGGAATTGTCTTGCGCTAAAATGTATCGGACCCCTTTTTCTGCTTGATATTTATTGTAGTTGGGACAGGGGAGGGGGTTGAATAACAAGTACTACGTTAATAATAAAAATGGATAAATATGTGGATTGAACTACTGAATAAAAAATTGGTTAAAAGGGCAATATACTTTTATTTGAGAGTCATACAAACATTTTTATAGCAATAAAATCAGTTTTCAAAATCTGTTTCCGATTTTACATCTATTTCAAAAAACAGGTCACCTTGCGCTATAGGTATGCATTTTTTTGCATATCAACCCTTTCGCCGATGCAAAAAAAAGGTTGCAATATATCATATATATATCTAGATTCAGAAGAAATGCGCAAATTTTATTGAAAAACATCAATATCGGGTGACGTGGCTGAAATTCCTACACGTAGTAACACCGGGCGACAGAAAATGCTTGCAAATTTTTTTTTATTGTTATAATCTGGAGCATATATATTTCATTGCCAGCAACAAAACAAAATAATTCATGGATAAGCAACTTTATTTTTAATTTCACAGGTCACATGACCACTCCCACCGCCAGGGAATAGTACATATTGTTCACCACCTCCCCCCCTGTGTGCTAGGCGTATAGGTACCCAACTACAAATAGCAAAAAAAACACGACATGTACCATTTTTTGGCGTCAGATGAGGGACTATTAGTATAAAGGACGTATTAACAAAGAACAGTGCAAGGAGGAAGAACAGAGTTGGATAATATACAGGGTGTACCAATAAAAATTCCCAGGCCGGATATTTTGGCAAGTAATAGAGATATTTTAATTCTGTAAAACCAAGTTACAGGGCACTAAGAAAGCTTCAGTTTTAGTTAAGAATTGATTTTAAATAGGTCAATATGTAGATGGCGCTAGGCGCAATATTTTTTTTTCGATGGGAGGATCTTTCTTGTATAGCGCATCTTGTGAAAAATGCATTTTTAAGCAGATTTTGTTCTATGAACTAATTCGATAAATCTAGCCATTTTTGATATACAGAGTGGCTTACTCAAAACAGTTTCATCCTGTTTTTCAGCATTAATCAATAGATTTTAAGAAAATTCTAAAACAGGTCGATTTTTATTCCAAATTAAAAACAATTTTACAATACAGACATCTATCATATGTCAACCCCCTCCCTTTCACTTCTCCAACACCTTAATTTTAAATATAGCCCAATCGGATTAGTATTTTAGATTCTGAAAAATTCGAAGCAGCGATTTTCCTTCGGAATTCGTTGGAGGGGGTCTCTGGTAGTCTAAATTCAAAAAGTTGGGATTCCAAAGTTGTCGTTACCTCCGCCATCTTGATTTAAAGGGTTATTTTTTGTATCTTGAATAACTCATTTATTTTCAATTTTACACGGAAAATAGTTTTTACAAAAGTTATTTAAAATTAAATTTCCTACAATTCTGCTTTTTTTTGTACGATCGATTTTTTTCGATTTATACCCGAAAAGAGGGGGTGAATTTTTGGTTATAGAATAATTCGTATATTTTCAATTTTACGAGAAAAATTGTTATAAACAAAGTTGTATAACATTAAATTTCCTACAATTCTGCTTTTTTTTTGTACGATCGATTTTTTTCGATTTATACCCGAAAAGAGGGGGTGAATTTTTGGTTATAGAATAACTCGTTTATTTTCAATTTTACGAGAAAAATTGTTATAAACAAACTTGTTTAAAATTAAATTTCCTACAATTCTGTTTTTTTGTACGATCGATTTTTTTAGATTTATACCCGAAAAGAGGGGGTGAATTTTTGGTTATAGAATAACTCGTTTATTTTCAATTTTACGAGAAAAATTGTTATAAACAAACTTGTTTAAAATTAAATTTCCTACAATTCCGTTTTTTTTTTGTACGATCGATTTTTTTCGATTTATACCCGAAAAGAGGGGGTGAATTTTTGGTTATAGAATAACTCGTTTATTTTCAATTTTACGAGAAAAATTGTTATAAACAAAGTTGTTTAAAATTAAATTTCCTACAATTCTGTTTTTTTTTGTACGCTCGATTTTTTTGTATTTATCCCTGAGAAGAGTGGGGGTGAACCTAAGTATTGTATTGTCACGTTTATTATTGATGTTGTACCATTATTTTTTCTGTTTGTTTTTTTTTGCTGATACCTGGAATTAAAAAGAAACGTGATAATACAATGATAAGAGTTTACCCCCACTCTTCTCAGGAATAAATACAAAAAAATCGAGCGTACAAAAAAAACAGAATTGTAGGAAATTTAATTTTAAACAACTTTGTTTATAACAATTTTTCTCGTAAAATATAAAATAAACGAGTTATTCTATAACCAAAAATTCACCCCCTCTTTTCGGGTATAAATCGAAAAAAATCGATCGTACAAAAAAAGCAGAAATGTAGGAAATGTAATTTTAAATAACTTTTGTAAAAACTATTTTCCGTGTAAAATTGAAAATAAATGAGTTATTCAAGATACAAAAAATAACCCTTTAAATCAATCTGGCGGAGGTAACGACAACTTTGGAATCCCAACTTTTTGAATTTAGACTACCACAGACCCCCTCCAACGAATTCCGAAGGAAAATTGCTGCTTCGAATTTTTCAGAATCTCAAGCCTGTTCTTCACCTAATCCGATTGGGCTAATAGGTAATGTACCATGTATGGCACATCATTGAAAAGGTAATTTAATGGGGGATTCAGAAATATTTCTGTACATTGCTTTACTTAAATTTTATCGCTCTCTAGCGGGATAAAAAATTACTATGTATTATAAAGTTTGATACTACAATGTGTAGTACATCATTAAAAAGGTAATTTTATGGGGAATTTAGAAATATGACTGTTCACTTCAATACTTTTAATTGTACCGCCCTCTATCGGGATAAAAAAACTGAATGTATTATAAACCGTGACACCTTATTTGAAAGCAAATTTAATCACTAATTCAATGCAACACATAACATTAATTAAATATCCTCCATATTGCATTTGCAATAGTTTGAAAATTAGTCATGCATTATTTTAAACATTATTGCTAAATTTATTTTGTTGCCAGTGCAATATGGAAATATTTATATTAAGGTTATGTGGTGCATTGAATTAGTAATTAAATTAGCTTTCAAATGAAGTGTCACACTTTATAATACGTTACAGGTGGTTTTATTCCGATATAGGGCGCTAAAATTAAAAGTATCGCAATAAATGGTCATATTTATAAATTCTCCATAAAATTACCTTTTCAATGATGTGCTATACATGGTACAGTCCTTATTTAAAATTAAGGGGTTGGAGAAGTGGAAGGGAGGGGGTTGACACATGACAGATGTCTGTATAGTAAAAATGTGTTTAATTTTAAATAAAAATCAACCTGTTTTAGCATAAAAACAGGTTGAAACTGTTTTGAGTGACTCACTCTGTATATCAAAAATGGCTAGTTTTATCGAATTAGTTTATAGAACAAAATATGCATAAAAATGCATTTTTTATAAGATGCGCTATATAAGAAAATTCCTCCCATCGAAAAAAATATATTTAGCGCAGCGCCATCTACATATTGACCTATTTAAAATTAATTTATATCTAAAACTGAAGCTCTTCTAGCGCTCTATGAACTGACTTTTACAGAATTAAAATATCTCTATTACTTACCAAAATAACCGGCCTGGGAGTTTTTATTGGTACACCCTGTATATCCAACACTATTCCTCCACCACAATATATTAAATTGTGGTGTTCCCTGGTATATTAAAAATCTGAAAGACGGCCCTCCAAAATTAGGACTTAGGCATTTTTTACAGATAAGCGATTTTCTTAGTTGATAGGATTACCCATTTTTACTATTTGTCTAATTATAGGCCGCTTTAAAATGTATATATTCATTTTTGCTTTGTTAATAATTTACCAAATATGTAGTTTTTTTTGCATAACATAATTTTACATAGAAAGAAAATGCCTATCGACCATGGTCATTGGTCAATTTTTGACAATTGACATTTGACAATAAACTCGACGCAGTTCCGCGCCTTCCTTCATGGTTCCGCGGTTTGTTGATTTGATCCAGAATTTTATCAAAGGAATGAGAATAACAAATAACATTGAAAATAGTATCAAATACTACAGGTTCTATTTGTGTTTTTAAACAAATATAAATGTAATCATGTCTTGTATGGTATGTAGAAAAAGCGACGTTAGATTATTTAACGTCGGCAGTAACTACGGTAAAATCAACCACACAGTTGGGGACGATTTTAATGAAATCTACGGCGAAAAGGTATTTAAATTTTTCCTAGCTTCCATTCTATGAATACTCTATTTTTCCATTTTAGGTCAAACTGTACTTAACACCAGACAGTTGCGTTTGCAATGTTTGTATGAACATTTTAGACAATGTAGCAAAATTAACCCAATACATTTGGAATGTAATATCAAACCCATACAACCAGCCTCAGCCAAGCAAGTTGAGCAAATTTTGGAAAATATTTGCCTCTCTTAAGCTAGAAGGAGATGATGATGATGATGACGCTTTGTTGGTACCATCCTATTCTGTACCTTATAATAAAAAATTGGAGGAGCAAATTGCAGAAAGAGAAAGACACAGAAGTTTTTGTAAGTTCAATATTTTTTGACAATAAACCAGATAAAGAATATAAATTAATCGCCATAGATAACAAAATGAATTTATAGGAAGTGTTTATTTACACTATCCCGCAAATAAGAGCAAATGGAACCTCTCGCAAAAATCAAAATGTGAGAATTTTCTAATATAAAATTGTATGTATAAGTGGGCAAATGGGAATACTAAGCGATTTTAAATGTTTCAAAAAAATTGAGAGTTTTAAATTTGTGCAACAATAGGGCAGCATTCTTCAGAGACATTTAAGAAAAAAAAAGGTGGAAAAGCTCCAATTTTAAAACTACTACATATTTATTATACTAAAAAGCAAATTTTCATAGATTTAATACAGAATGGTGCATACTTAGATTGCTTTTAAAAATAATCAAAATAAATACTTTTTGAAGGTTCACAAAAAATAAAGGTTTGTCCACCCTAAGTTTTGTTCTTGGTGAAAATTTCACAAAAATCAAATTAAAAATAAAGGTTTGGAGAGAATTAGTTTTTTGCTTTGATCTTAAATCAAATTACACAATAGAAATAAACAGACATTGGGGTTTCATCTATATATCTGTCATAATTATTGAAATACAACTGTACAAAAAAATTACCAAATACCTATTTACTGATGAAAATACCAGTTCCCCTATTTCAACTATCAATTCAAACTTGAACTGTTTGAATTGAAATGTTCAACAGCATTTATAAATTGTATGTATATTAGGATTATCTATTTAAGTAATAAATTAATTTTTTTACTAATGTTCTATGTGATCTTTTTCATGAAAATTATCACATTATGGCTATGGTAACTATGGTAAGTCTCATTTAAATGAAAGACTTAGGTAACTTTTCATTTTTTGATATTTTAATGGTTTGTGAATCTGGTGTTAATATTAAGATGGTTTTTGTAGTTTGGAAGTTATAATTTATATTTTTTGTCTTAATAAAAACTTAAGCATAAATCAAAGAGCAAAATTTATGTACATGGAACTTCATAATCTTAGATTAAGGTTATAAAAACTTGTTAAGAGTAAAATTTTTAACAATAATTATGTACCCTAAGGTAAAGAATGTTATCTGCAATCTTCTAGATTTGGAAGAAATGAGTCCCAAAGTTGGAAAGTTGACCCTCAGTCCATCTGGCAATTTGACCCTTTGGTTTCTTGAACTGCATTTACTTTTAAGGGCTGCATGATCGGTCCAGATTAAAAATTTCCTTCCATATAGGTATTAGTAGAAGTGTTATTCTCCTGATGAAGTAATTTTGCTTAAGTTTTGGAACACTTTACTAAAGTAACCCAGTATAGCAGGGACAGAAGTTTAATAATAATCATCTTTATTTTCATATGAATATTACACAGATAACAAGTCAAAGTACAAGTATAGGTTTATATAAAAAATGAGCAACAGATATAATAATAATAGTAATAAAATAAAATACAAATAATAATTAAGATTAGCGACAGTTATAATGATAATAGTAATAAAAAAAAACAAATGTAAATAATAACTAAGATTAGGCTTAGTGAAATAATACAAACTCTTTAAGGGTATATGGATTAACATCGTTTATGTACTTTTTAGTTTCTTTTTGAAATTGTTCATGTTGGAGCATTTTATTACATTTAAAATTAATTGTATAACAAGCATCCACTAAAATATGCACCTTTCTGATATATATAGTATGATGATTAGACTGTAGTTAATTTTTATAACAAGTATGGTATGAATAATCTACATTATTTAAAGTGAAAGTGGAAAAATTGCGTCTAACAGAACATAAAACCTCATATATGTAAATTCCGATGACAGGTAAAATATTAAGGTCTTTGAAGGCATTTCTAAAGGTTTCTCCAGGTTTATGGTTAGCTACAATAAGTATGGCATATTTTTGGATGATAAAAATTCTATTGAAGTCCCTATAAAGGCCCCAGTGTATAATATAATACCTCAGATGGCTATGAAAATTAGCAAAATATAGAGTTCTTGTTATATGGCTACTATGTTTAGCCATGATACTAAGTGAGAAACAAGATGATGATGATAATCTGTTGCTAAGCTGTTCGACATGTTTATCCTAAGTTAAGTGACATTCCAGATAAATACCAAGTAATCTTATTTTATTAGCATATTTTAAAAATTTTGCATTTATATGTATCATGTTGCCAATTTTTAAAATAGATTTATTGGAAGTAAAATCCATAAGTTGGAAAGGTTTTTCGCAGTTCTCCCACTTCATACACAGAAATTGACAGTTTTGTGGTGGAGCTAACCGAAGTGATCTCGATGCATTGGTGTACAAAATTATTTTATAGATGCTAATAACTATTTCTGGTAAATCGTTTAATAAATTTTGTACAATTATGATTTGGGATATTATAATACTTGTTCAATAATTTAATATTACTTATTTTATGAAACACCACTGGCAGATAAACATTATAAAACTTTCGAAGTCATCTGACGTGGTTTGACGATAACCCCCTCTCTATCTACCAAAAGTCTTTTCAACTTTCCAACTTCTGCCCCTGCTATACTCTTTCCTGTCCTTCTCCAATTTCCACATTACTGGAATCAGTATCCAGAATAAATTCTTCCTCTGGTAATGGTAACCTAAAATTGATGCTGTGGTTAAATGATTGTTTAAAGTTTCAAATGCAGTTTGCTCTCTTCATTCCAGCAGAACTCTTTTGTTTCTTCTGTAAGTCACGTAACCAGAAGAAAACATAGATACCTCTTCCTTTATTATATTGTTAATGGAAAATATTTTTGCCCTGAAATTTTATTGAAAATGAATCTTTTTGTTTTTACTCAATACCAGGCAATCACAATTTTTTTAATAGACTTGATAGTACTTTTAACAGTTGTATTTTTCGGATACTTAGATAGCCACTCTTTGGATAATATTATTATATTTAATTCTTCAGTAAAGGGTTTCACCCAGTCATAGCTACAGTGCCAATACCATATGCATAACTGGTAACAGGCAGTGGCTACAGTGCCGATACCATATACCTAATACCTTAAACTTCTTCAAATAGATTTGTTTTATCTTACCTGACCAAAAAATAAATCTTACGTTTAAAAATTTTCAAAAAATTCACCCAACATTGTCATCAAATAAGTAACTAATGGGCAAATTTTAACAAAAATCTGGTAAGGAAAATGTTTTGTTAAAAAATTCAAGTAAGTAAAAAAGTTATATTTCATCAGATTTTTTCAAAATTATTATATGGGATCTTTATGTCATATGTTATACTATTAAAAATAAAATTAATATTATTTCACAATAAATTATCTCTAAAACTTTTATAAACGTACAACATTAGTTTATTTCCTGTTATTATAACTTTTTATTGCTTTACACACCACCTAAGATTTATCTAAACATTGAATAATTATAAAAAGTCAATAAAAATGTTTTAATATAATAAATATTTTTAAATTGGGCACCTAAAACATTAGTCCAGTCGATGCTACTAGGAATAGAAATTAAATTAACGTTATTGAATCTACCCACTTGGATGTATCGTGACCAACGAAATTTTTGCAATGTTGTCAAATCGAATTAAATTTTAGAGAATAAAGGATATTACAGAATGGTTAATATAACAGCAAACGTAACAATTAATTGTGGGATTATTTATTGATTACATGGATGTCCGGCGACAAGGAACATTGTTCAATTTTTTTGTAAAAATATATTATATTTTTGGTTTAAATATTTAATAAACTTCCATAACAACTGTACAAATTCTAAATAGTATAATATATAAAAATCTCTATATAGGCTTGAGGTCTGTTCTGTTTGTTAAGTTATAAATTAAGACATAATAATTGATTCTAAGTGATACACAGCTTGAGTAAAAAAGTCAGCACAATTTTTTTTGGTAACTTATTTCAACAAATATTCTTGTAAAATAAATGTTAGTCCTCTATTTAAAAATAACCAAGTATTTATATTATAATTTTTTTTACACATTTCCTCATTAATTGTTAATATACAGGATGTCCTGCATAATGTATTGTTTAAAATGATATACCTATTACAAGAGTAGGGTCCCCGTTATTTAGAAAACAAAAAAATTAAATAAATATTTAAATTATGAAACTAATATAAATAATTGTTGTTTATATTTTAGTATACGAGCAAAAAATACCACGGTACTGACGTAATTTAACCCCTAAAATATTTTTAACCTTATACCTCTATAACTTTAGCGAGATTTAAAACGATCCTGCCATATAATAGGCTTAAAAAATATGAAAATTTAGATTTTAGAGCTTTTGGAATTTTGGAATTTTTTATAACTAAGTTTGCATGGCAAAATTCGATAATTCGGTTTTGTGAAAAACTGGATGATTAAAAAATTATTTTTTTCACGATTTTAAATTATTACCTATAAATTATAATATCCTAACCCCCACCTAAACCCCCATTTTTCTTCAGATTTTTTTAAATTAATAGGCTTTGTACCCTTATAGAGCTTGATTTTCGCTAAAAATTTCAAGTTGATATTTTTTAAATTGATTACCCTTTATTTTCCTTCGCTTGTCCTTAATATAATTACATTGTAGTTTCCTTGAAACCTACTCATCAGCACGTATTTTTTCTAGAGTAAACAAATTTAGAAATTAAAAACTACTATTTCGACAACTCACACATTTGTATTTATAAAATGCCAAAGAAAATCTAAACTAAGCGATTTTAACCCTCCGCCGCTTAACTATATTTACGTGATAACTAGAACAGTAGATACCTCTGTGTGTATATACTTGGCAACAACGTATATTGTTCCGAATTTGTAATATCTATATCAAGTGTTGCCCTCTTTTGCTTCACGTACCAACTCTAATTAGCAATATTTGTAGTGACAGAAAACTATAATGTTTAGCGCTAGTTTTCGATAATTTCTTGCGTTAGCGAAACGTAACTTTTCTAGGGCGCATCATTCAAAAAACACCAATCTAATTTTTAACAATTTATTGTAACTTAAGTGGGCTTGCAAGTAAATAAATTAATTTCTTGACAATAAATGTGTTAAACAGTTATAAAATAAAAAAAATCTATTTTCAGGTATCCCCCCTACATCTGAAAGGTCATTAGGAGTGCAGGGGAAGAGAATGTCTTCAGGTACGATCAGTGGTTATTCAGTCACTGATTACAGTGAAGTTGAAAGTGAAGATTTTAGTGAAGTTCGTAGAATTTTTAAAAGAAAGAAAAAAAGAGGACACAACTGGGCGAAAAGTAAGGGTGGTCGTAGTAGATCTGCCACTTCTTCAGTTACCCGTAAATCTGGACGGAAAACTTATACTCCTTATACTGAGTATACTGAGTTTAGTGCTTATTCTGATACATCTTCCAAGAGAAAATTTAGATCTTCGAACCTTCCTAGAACGTCATCAACGTATACAAGGTGAGTAGTAATAAGTTTGAAAAAATGCCATTCAAATATATAACGTGCAAAACAAAAAGGCAACATCGTTATATTTTTCTTACTATCGATTTTAGAAAAAAATCTTAAATACAAAACAATTTTTATATTTCATGTAATTGTTTTTATAAAAATTATCTTATCATTTTGAATCATAAAATGACTGCAGGGAACTACATATACAGTGCCGGCAAGATCAAACCTTCGGTCCTGCTTTACTTGCGATAGAGTGAATACTAAATGACGTTCATACAAGAGGGAAAGGACCAACACAACTAACACTTAAAATTTTATAATACTAAAATCAGAGAGAGTCGGCCAGACGCCAGACTACAAGTCCTAACATGTCTAAAAGTGTAAACGATATTGACAGATTTAACAAACTGCATAATATTACATAATTTTAAGAATTTTGTTATTTCTAGCAAGATTGACATTTTTTTTTCTGAGCATTAAACTTTGGAGAAATTCGCGGGAATTTTACCCACCCCACTGGAAATTCACTGTGGAAATTATATAATAAAGATGTCAATGTTTTCATTCTTTGGTGTGTTTCAAGTTCATTTAATAGGTACATTTTATGAAACAGATGGATTCTAATATTATAGCGTTCATAGTGTTTAGATGTTGAATTCTATTTTTAGATATGTTATATTTGCTTTCATGCGAGAAAATAAGACCCATAGCAACATATTTTAGAACTTGGAATGTGTTTGCTTAAATTAAGTTTACTATTAAAAATACTTTGTATTTTTAACAGAAGGTATTTTCTTTAAAAGTACAATACAGTTATGATTATGATTTGTAGATCTTTAAGCAGATTAGAAGCAGAGTCAAGAGAGAATTTGTCGAACATATATTGTATGGAGCGAAATTGCAATATGTTCAGTGATGATATTGAAGAATTGAATTTGCACAACATAGAAGAACATGCTATGTCTAATGTGTATAATTGCCTGGAGTGTCCAAATGTTTATACCACAAGGTTAGTAACTTTTTTTTAATAAACATTCAATTGAGAATGGCTGGGTTGTCTTAATATATCATTTATCCTCTTAGAATATCTACTAAGTTTGGCAGTATATAATCCCTATAGATTTTTCAAATGACTTATTCGAATTTTGTCAGTTCTTTGGAATTATAACCTTAAAGTTTTTAAATGTTTCCTAATTTAAATTTCCAGTTATCTTTTCAATATCCACATGAAATGCCACACGTATTCGTTTTTCTGCCTGATGTGCGGCATGGAACAACAAAATTCTTTGGAACTACAAAAACACCTAGACGAACATTTGATCTACTCTGTACCATGCAAATATTGTGACAAATCGTTTTTAAGTAAGAGCTTAAGGGAGGAACACATCAGGCAACGGCACACTGGTAGAAGGAATAGGCGAATATACAAAGATAGGCTAATTATTTTGGACAGGATTGATAAGTGCAGTGGGAGCCAAGAACAAACAGATGGAGACAAAAACGAATATGAAGCAAGGTATTGTGATCAAACTTAATTATATGTAATTTAATTTTTTTTTAAATCATTGGTGGTAATGGAAATTTGAGATATTTTGTAGGACATGCCATACATTGCACTCTGTAGAATACATTATATATTGTTGACTGTCAGTCTGACATATTAATATAATAAGTTCGTCTCAACTCTACAGATACTTTATTACAATGGCGCTGTCAGTAGGATCTGGAGACTGTGTAGGACATGTGGTACATTGTGCTTTATATGTATTATTGACTGTCATTGACATATTTATATAATAAGAGTTAGTCTCAACTCTAGAGATACTTTATTACATATTTCACTGTGTATAATATTAACCCTTTCTGTACCATGAGTGGAACAGTTGATTGATGCCATGCACTCATTTGGTACCATGATTCATGGCTTAAAATCTTTAAAATTCGTTTTTATATGGAGTTAATTAATATTTGTTCGAGTTTATGTGCTGTGATAAGTCATTTTTATAATTTGAAGCATCGTTGTCAAGTTGTCTTATATGAAAAAATCTCGGAACTAGAGAAATTTATAATTATTCCATTATAAATATAAATGTAATTATATTGGCTTTGAATGTTATTGTTTGAATTTTGATTCATGTTAGGTGTCAAGAAATAGCGTGGCCTTGAAGTTGTCATTTTTCTACAATTTAGAGGTAGGCAAAATAATAGATGAATCAATTACTCTATTATTTGTTTAGAAAAAAATCGATAATCGATTAAACTTAATAATCGAATAATCGATTAATTGAATCAAAAACCTACTAATTGAATAATAGAAAATAATCAATTATTTATTTTGATAATCGTCCACTCTTATCGATAATTCGATATTATAAAATGATCGTTTGATTACCGTATGTAATTAAATTAGATATTTACTAATTATCGATAAATTATTAATTGAATATAAGATTAATAATAAATTAAATATCGATATCCGATTCGGAAATAATCAATTTAACGATTAATCGAAAATAATCAATTTTCTATTATTTGAAAATAACTGATTAATGGAAAATAATCATCTCTCGATTAAGCAAAAACAACAGATGAAGCAAAAATAATGGATTAATCTTGAATAATCTGTATCCTTATTATTTATCAACAAAATTATTTAATAAGAAAATCATGGTTTTGGCTTTTTTTAGGTATATCTTCTATACAGACATGCAAATAGAAGATGGTGACATGGACATGACAATTGAAAATTTAAAAACCAAAAATATTCCGGTATATACAGATGAAGACGAAGGAATTACGTTGGAAGAAGAGGAGGTAGAAGAAGACATAGCCAGAACAGAAGAACCAGAAATTGTTAATAGTGAAATTTCTCAGACTGAAAATATTGTAATTCAAGAAACAAACATTCCTGGTCTCTTTGAAGATGAAAATATAGATGAAACCTAGCATATGGACAGTGAATTTTTAGACATTATATCCTCAATTTTTAATTATTTATAACAAGATAAACAACAACGGGTTGTTGATTCTCTGTTATAGAAATAATTCCACAATTTGGAAATGTTTTAATTTTTAGCGTATATTCGACATCTTTATAGAATGGATTCATGAACTTTTGGGCTATAATAAAACCACTTTTTGAATCGAATGTACAATCATTAACTCAGATTTTTTTTAACTAAATTTACAGCTTCTGTTTCGAATTATTATTCTAGAAGAGCGAAAAATGCAACAATACTTTCAAAGTATTTTTAATTTTATTTTTGACACTATCAATATTTAAAACGTCTTTAACGTATTTTTGATTAAAACCAAGGTGTTTCTTGACTTGTAACAGGTGGCGCAAAATATATGACCATTAGGTTCAGAACTTTAAAAATAACTGAAAGACCTTAATTATATTTTGACATTTGAAATTTTTTTAAGCATATTTGCAGAAAATAATGCTCGTCAAATGTCCGTCCAGCATTTGTAAAAATTTGAGATCTTGACAGCATTTTCCATATCTTTCACCAAAACTTCTGGTGTTAGTTGGTCAATTTCTTGTCGAATGTTTTCCTTCAAGTCCTCCAGAGTTCGTGGTTTGTTTACATAAATGACTTCAGATAACCCCAGAGAAGGAAATCTACAGCACTCATATCGGAAGACCGTGCTGGCCATGGTAAATCACCAAATCCAAAAGATTAGTCGGCCAGGGAAAGGTTCCATCAATAAATTCATGGTCTCATGAGGTTTGAACCTGTGGCATACTTTTTCCTATGCCCACATTGACTGGATTACTATTAAATAACTCGTCCCTTCCCAGGGATACCGTCCTGTGGAATCTCGACTTCTTGACGTTCTCTGTCTATTTCTTTAGATACATTTTCCGTTTTCAACCTTGAAAATGGTAATAACGTCGGTATGTCTCCCTTATCAGTCTAACGGGAAGTAACCTCACTGTTATCTGTCCGCTGTACTGGAGAAGCGGCATTGCCATTAAATGACAAGTTTTTAGGGAATTATTGGGCCTTACCATATAGCGGTATTTCAAAAATTTCGTATTGTTTGATTAACATGGCTGAAAAAGCCAAACATTTATAAAGGCAAATCACTTTTTTATAACTGTGTGAAAGCACTTAATTGTGAGCAATTGAGAAGGTAGTTTAAGTGTCATGGACGTTCGCAACAAGAAAAAAAGTGTTCTGATTGAGAGGTTAGGTAGCAATACTTGTTTACTGTGTAAAAAATTCATAAAAACAATAATTCTAACTCTATTCTAATTAATTATACCAACCAACTAGTATTGCAAAAACACTTTAATTAATATGAAAGTTCATCACGAGTATTATTTAATAAAATAAATTTAATATTTTGAGGATCAACATAACATTTTTAATTAAATTACTGTGTATACCGAAGTAGTATTTAATATTTCTTCTGTTGGACCACTTTCTCCGTAAAAATGTAGTAAACAAATACAAGTATCTATTTTTATAGTAACATTAGTAACATCATCAAACAATCGAAAACCTTTGTCACTTCGACCACATTTGTTCACCCATAATGCACATTTGGAACATGTTTAATATGTATTTTGCTAATGAATTGCTATTTTTTTACGATATTGCAGGCAAAGCTTTGGAAAATTTATAAACTAATAAGTATTGCCTTTGAATGATTTATACCATGTACTGTGTCACTTTTACTTACTCCATAACGACACCGTTTCGTTGTTCCTTTTTGTACAGATAACATAAAATTATAATAAATTGCAAAAATGTATTTTTCAATTAAGACACTTATTGGCTTCTGAAATCTCCATATATATACAAAGTAAACTACCTGGTTAAAGTAACTAAGAAATAAATTAATCAAAAAAATTCCAATAAGGTATTACATTACCGGGATTATCTCACATAATACTAAAAACATCTTTACGCTACGCCCCTGAAGTATAATTTATAACCACCGTAACGTAACTTAACTCCGTAGAAACTTAACTCCGTAGAAACTTAACCTAATATATAAAAATAAAGTCTATTTATAAATATCCGTAACGTAAGAGTTGAGCATGCGTGTTGATTTCAGAGATTATCAAATTACTAACAACCTTATGAAATAAACAAGTGTAAACTATGTACCTAACCTCTAAATAAAACTTATAAATTATGATTTTACTATATAGAAAGAATATATTAACTACTTTAAAAGCAATAATATAAAAATATAATAAAACAGAATAGTTTACCGAAGATGTTGATTGTTTTTGAGAAATAATGAGAATTTAATCTTTCCTAGTTTGGTATCTTATTTCAGTTCTAGACTTGATGTTTATAGGTATATGCAGCAAACACTCATATCTCATAAATAGTTTATCCCCAATAACATAAACACATCATTTATGATCATGTATGTCCATCAAAAAGGAGAATGATAGTTTACAAATGGTATTTGTCTATTCATTTATAAAAAAATAAATAAAAAAAGAATAATTGACAGTTGTCACATGCTGAACTCAGAATTATCTCATTGGCTAACCGTAAGGTCTTAAGTTAAGTTGTTAAGTTAAAAGTTGGCGAACTTTCTACTGTACGTTAAGTTCTTAAGTTACGTTACGAACATTATAAATAAGTATACGTAAATTCAATATTTCAACTTCTTACGTTAAGTTCTTAAGTTACGTTACGGCGGTTATAAATTAAGCTTTAATGTTTACTTGACCTGGACACCGCTCGGGAAAATATGTATATCTCTCGACGTTACGGCAAATTTAATCTGTTGTTCTCTTCTCTGCCTCATTATGATATCTGTGTACGTAACGCTGCTATTGAATTTTTAGATGCAGAATATCATTCAATTTTTTTTATATTATTTTAATAAACATTGACGTTGCTGAATCAACAGGTAGATACTTTAACGAATAATACACGTCTGTTATTCTATGGATATTTATAGGCATGTGAATGATTAAAATAGAAAATGTTAAAATATCTAGAATCACAACCTCACAACAATGTTTTCATAATATTTCTAATAATTTAGTGCCTACTATTTTGGAACTCAACTTTAGTATAGTGACTAATTAAACGGAGTTAGTGGGCGTTTAATACTGTTTTAATTCCACAAGAGCCTGTGCTTTTTTAGACAATGAAATAGAGTTAAGATCAGGGCCCCACTGAAATCCTACATATTGATATTTTTTTGTCTCTTCGTATTGAAAGAAAGAACTCTTTATTTACTCGAAAAATATCTAGAGGTGTAGATCATGTCATAGTACATAAATATACATGTTATTTATAAATATGCATTAAACACATTTTTTACATAATATACATTTTTTTATAATTATTATTTTTCTTAATAATCCATATTTTATATAATTACTGAATCAAAGAAGAATTTTTTAAGTTGTAATAGGCTTAATCACACAGGAATGACTTCAATTTTAATTTTAGTGCTCTGATTTTTAGGATGGGTATTGATTTGGTATTATAGATATGTTCAACTTCGTTGATCCCAAACAGATCGTAAGATATACAGGGTGTTAAAAAAAAAGTGTCACAACATAAAACGGGGGGTAGTATGGGCCAAAATATGCAGAAAAGTCTTAATAAACATATGTCCGCAAATGAATGGTTTCAGAGATACGGAGTGTTTTGTATCATTTTTTGATTATCTTTTTTCATTCTCAAAAACTTGCTTTTCTTATCGGAGTCTACCGATGTTTTTTCATAGATACTATTTGCAGTTATTATTTTGTTGTGGGTGAATAATTTTATAAATTTTCGTTATGCCTGTTTACACTAATATTGAATTAGCTGACATGCATTTTATGTACGATCGTGCAAATGGCAATGCGAGGGAAGCGCTACGTCAGTATTTGAACATCTCATTTAACTCTATGTTGTTATTGATTGTTTATAAATATCATTGTTTTTTTATAATAATAAAAAATTGTTATAAACACAAAATGGTCCGTATCTCCGAAACCGTTAATTTGCGGTCATATATTTATTAAGACTTTTCGGCTTATTTTGGGTCATACTATTCACCATTTCATTTTGTGACACTTTTTTTTAACACCCTGTACATACACACTGTAGTTAATATCTTCTTTTGAATAAAATTATCTTTTATCGTATTTTCAGATGGAATATATTTCTAAAGCAGCTTTTTGTAAAATAAATATAAGTTGAGAATTACCCTAGAAAATCATTCCATAACTAATTCTATACTGCACATAGGCATAGTATACGGTTAGAGCAGTAGTTTGTTTTACATTAGCTAAAAGTATTCTTAGAGCGTAGCTAAATTTGGAAATGTTACCCAATACTTGTAGAATGTGTTCTTTCCAGTCCAATCTCCGATCAAGCGTCACTCCCAGGAAGGTAACAGAGGTTTCTGAAATTATATTTTGGTCCTTGTATGTAAATGTGCCACGAGTAAAATTAATTATTTGAGTTTTATTGATATTTAATATGAGATTATTGTTTTTAAACCATTGTCCTAATGTATTTATTGTTGCATAAAACAAATGTTGGTTCACTAAAAATCAATGAGGTGTCATCGGCATATTGTACTAAAATTTCATTAACCACTTCTGGTAGTTCATTTACATATAGTATGTGGAGTAAAGGACCCCAGTATGGAACCCTGTGTGCACCTTTTTTATAGATTTAATATCTGATTTAACTAGACTATTGTTATCATCAAAATCTGTGACACATTGTTTATTGAGTAAATATGATTTCATAAGAAGCAGTGGTACCCTATGATTCCCATTAACTCCAGTTTCCTACATAGAATGTTGTGATCAACAGTATCAGAGGCTTTAGTAAGGTCCAGACATAGCGCTGACGTCTTTTGATTTTTATTTAAGGATCAGTAATTATTTTTAGAACTGGATATATGGCACGCACTGTGCCTTTTCCCTTTCTGAAATCATTTTGACAGTTTGATAAAAC